CTTCCTGTACAAACCCTGCTGTCTCAAAGTCCTACACAGACTGGCCTTCACCCTCAGGCCACACCATGCTTCACCACAGAGGCTGTGCCAATACCGACTCCTCCCTTGACCCAGACAGGGCTTCACCAGAAACCCCACACCATCTCATCCATGAAGGTCCCATCTAGTAACTTTTATTACAAATGTGATTTTATACTGGCCATAGAATTAATACTAATCAATATGATAAGAAAGGAGTATTGTTAAAAGGTAGCAACAATTAGATAGCTATTAGATGCCTTAGTCTAGTTTGGGGTTCTGTTACCAGGCAGATATACATTGTGTGAAAATGTTTAAAAGTGATTCCTCTTATTGGAAAACATTCTTTGAAGTATCATTAAGGTTTCATGAGTGATAATTTTATTTCTAGAAAATTCGTGCACATTTGTGCCCATTAACTTCAAAAACATTAGTTATTTTAAATCTTCTGTTTTCTTTGAGGAAAGAGTTTTAGTGTATAAAAAGATAACTTTCAACTCATCTTTCCAATTAATAATTTTTGAGCTGCTTACCTTACTATGTACCAGAGATTTTTGTAACAGAAATTTTCTACCAGAATCCACTCTGAATTTCCTCCTTCCACTAAAGTGCGCTTTGGAAAATGTTGAAGTGAGATTATACAGGTGAAATGCCAGAAATAAAAACATATTTGAGATCATAACAAAATTATGATGACGACCTCACCCAAAGTGCTTTTTATTTTCTAAAAAGGAATGTAAGCCTATTTAACTGCAGATTTTCTGAAGACTAGAAGACAAAAATATAAGAAATTCCCTGTTATGCCATGGTTCTGAAAACAAAACAAAAACAAACAAAGACAACATAATGAGACATATGGGAATGAGGAACTTGTACATGTGATATACAGTGTAAAAAATACATTGAATCACATAAAAATAATTTTGGTCGCGTTGTCTTGTTGTTCAATATATTTCTTTGCAAAAATTGCTCTTTGTTAAGCTGTGACTTAATATAGGTCTCAGCAGGGATCTGCCCAGGTAATTCTGTAGTTAGTATTTTTCATCATTTCAACGTCATCAGAATGAAAATCTCCTCACACCTTAAGACACATCTGCAACAGCATTAAACATACCCTCCTATTGGTCCAACAGTGTAATCCAGACCTGTGTTTTACCAAAGCTCTGTATGTGGTATGCTATGGTTTATTCAGGCTAAAGAGCCAAAGTAACTCATATTTGAGATTAACCCCACGATCTTGTGCTAGGCTTCCCTCAGAGTGACCCCAAGAGAGAGAGAAAAAAAACACAGGTTGCCATCAACCCTGCCCACCCTTAAGAAGGCAGAGCAGTTACCCAAGTGTTCCAGGAGCAGGACATACCAATAGTTCAGAAAAAGGCCAGAGCGGTTAAGGTGGACTCAAACGAATCCTGTAACTGCTTCTGTGGAAATTCCTTAAACTTGTTTGTTCAATACTATAAAAGCTGTGCAGATTTTGTGCTCTGGGACTCAGCATCACCTGTTACCAGGTGCGCGGAGGACCAAGCTTGAGCTTGCAAATAAACAACTCTTTTGCTGTTCACATTGGTCGTGGTCTCTGGTGATCGTTTGGGATCCTAAGTCCATACAACATTCCTGTTGGCTCGTCTGGAATCTGCCTCATAAGACCCTCCAGACACACCACCACAGAATCCCAAAAACCCAGCTGTTAAGTCAAGGCATTGCCGTTCTGTATATTTGGTTGCCTGCAGGTTCTGTATCTATAAATCTGGTTTCCTGAGGTGTCTGTACTCTGATTGGCAAGGAGTCTTGGTGGACACAATTTAAGACTGCCAATGGGGTCTGTGAAGAGACGTCCCCAGACCCTTCTGGGTAGATTGCTGTTTAATACAGACGTTTTTTTGGGAAACTCTCAGTCTGTAGACTGGCACTTTCTGGTTGTTGGCAATTTACAACTCTGCAGTGTGTCTTGGTAAGTAGTGTCTTTGTATTGAATGTTGTTTGTCATTTGGGGTTTATCTTACCCTTAGGTCTTGGCCCGGGGGGACAGAGTATGGGGGAGAATCTACCAGTTGGAGAGGATGGTTGCTAGGGACTTATTTCCCTTGCCCCCAAATGACTGGGACTTCTCTTCCACCTTGGAAGGACCCTGGGTCAGCAAATGTTGGTGGGATGTCACCTCATTCACTGAGACCTGATTGTTTTCTGTTCTATGTTTCCTGAGATAGGGAAGTTCTGGTTGGGAATGGCAGGCTCACTCAGCAGACTCTGGATTCAGCTTGATGAGTGAGAATGGCACAGAGTTCTGGTAGGGATAAATTCAGCCTTTGGTTATTGTCTTCTTTAATTCGGTTTTAGAATTGGTACTAGTTTTAATTGTGGGTTTTTGTTTTTTGTGTTTTTGTTATTTATTTGAACATCGCTGTGGAAATAAAATTTCCAGCTTCTAACTGGGTTCAGTCACAGAGAAGGATAAGTGCCTAGCTTTGACTTTTCAGCTAGTCTCAACAATGTAAAGAGCTCTTGTCTAAAATTGGATAAAAGTGGTTGAACAAGGTTACAGTCCCACCAGCAATGCAGTAAGGTTCCCTTCTGTCCAAATGCCCTACAGCATCTGTTGTTATTAAGTTCTTGACTCTAACCATTCTAACTGGAATGAGGTGGTATCTCAATGTTGTTTTGATTTGCATTGCTTTAATGGCTAGGGAGGTTGAGCATTTTTACATGTGCCTATTGGCCATCCTTCTTTCCCTTTCAGAAAAGTTTCTCTTAAAGTCTTTAGCCCATTTATTTATTGGGAAGTTGTTTCTTTGAAGATTTGTTGTTAGGGGACTTAATTTTTTGAGTTCCAGGTATATTTTAGATATGAGACCCTTGTCCTTTGCATGGTTAATGAAGATCTTCTCCCAATCCGTGGGCTTTCTTTTGATCTTGCTGGCTATGTCCTATGCCATGCAAAAGCTCTGCAATTTCATGCAATCCCATTTGTCCAACTTTTCTTTCATTTGTTGTGTTTCTGGGTCTTTATTATGAAAATGTTGGTCTGTGCCATGGAGACCTAGGGTTTCTCCTATTACATTCTGTAATGATTTCAGAGTGTCTGCTTTGACTCCGAGGTCTTTGATCCATTTGGAGTTGATTCTGGTGCAGGGTGATATATAAGGATCTAGCTTTATTTTTCCACAAATAGTTAACCAATTTTGCCAGCACCATTTGCTGAAGAGGCTGTCTTTCTTCCATTCTATTTTTTATACCACCCTTATCGAAGATTAGATGGCTACAGGTCTGTAGGTTCATTTCTGGGTTTTCAATTCTTTTTTTAATATCAAAATACATTTTATTCTGGACCTCTTTCAGATCTGATTCAAATTACAGTTGTCAAAGCAATGCAATGCAAAGGGAAACTGCAACAACAACAATAATAAATGTACCTAGAAAGGATAAAAGAGTCATTGGGGACTAATCATTGTGATGTGGAACCAAATACATTGTAAGTGTAATTAACATGGTCCAGGACAGCATAGAACATCTTCATCAGTCTTTCTTACACAATAATCATGAAAACTGAGCAATAAGTTCTTTAACATGTACAAAACACTGACATTGGCTGGATTACACTTTTACAACAGTTTTAAAGTTAACCGGATAACTAAAAAATGATGCAGACATCTTAATCAGGTGCTACAGGTAGGCTCACAGAATTAGACCCAAAGGATTTGGAAAAAATCTAAATGAAAACATTATAGCTACAATGTCAAAGTTAGGAAAGAAGAAAATTAATTCTGTATTCAAGGATTATAGAGCTACAAAATGCAGTCTGTTTGTTTTTGTCTGTAATGAGATGGATAACTACATCAGACTAGATACAACATGCAGAACATTTTCTTGAACTTATCCAGAAAGTCCAAAGGAAACATCATGAAGCAGCTCACTAGAAAAGAAAAATATGCCCTAGTTTAGTTATTCACCCTGCTTCAACACTGTCAACGTAAAGGCAGAAATAAAGGATGCTATCAATGCCTCAGAACTACTGATATAAGACATCAAATTTATACATCAGTGTATTAAAAAAGTGAATACCTCCTCTTTTTCCCTCTCTTCTACACTGAAATAGAATCATGTTAAAAATTTATATTAAACGTGACACTCAGAACTACTACTGGAAAGAGTAATTCATAAGCTCCCTACCCTCCAGCCACCTCTGCTGATTCAGAGAAGGGAAGGGAAGGGAACCAAAAACAAACAACAACAAAAAAACCCAGGGTCTCTGTAGGTTTGCTGCTATTCCCCAAAATGTCAGTGTTTGCTGCCAGGCCACAATGTTGGTCCAGTGAAACATGATTTCTGCAAAACTGTCAATAGTAATTCACCATTTGCAAGTACCGTCTTTCGTTTGTGAGCTGGAACACAGGTTCTGTAGAAACATACAATGTGCTTAAGAAAATGAAAGTGGTCTTAAAAGAGTAAATAGCACTGCATGAGATTTGTTTTTCTAAGCATCTAGTAAAACTTGTCATTTTCGCTCTCTCAAAGTATGGTCATTTATGATTCCTTCAATTGTCAAAAATGCACAGCCATCTTTAGGCCAATAATCATTAATAGTTTACATTACTCTTAACAAAATCATTCTACATAAACAGATATCTCCTTAAAAATAGTACTCTCTCATTAAATCTAATTTTACAGAATGAAATTTAAGGAAAAAAGGTGTGTTTTATAAGTTAAGTGAAAAAGCACAAAACTTTGGCCTTTCTCTTGACATTTTTAGGTCAAAAAACAAAAAACCTTCATGTAATTCAATCTAATGGTTACTTTTTGCACCATAATTTGTTTTTTACACCACAAAAGGAAGCACTTTCAGTATCTGTAAAAAGTGTTTAATCCTAAAACTTACTTTACCTAGAGAATTATTCTTTAAAACAGAATTTGATACATGCTAAGACCTATTAGGAAATTACCAGTTTCCACTTCTAAAACTCATTTTAAAATCAATTATATTACCTGATCAATTACAGGAAAGGGGGATTAGAGGAAAGATGAGTACTTAAGAGACTTCCTACATGGAGAAGAAAGAAATTTTTCCTTTATGACATTTAAGAGTGGCAGCTGCTCCTTATTTTATTTAATTCTCTGAGAATGCAGTAAGTTTTCCTTCCTATTTTCCTTACGATTAAATTTCATAATGGTAGCATAAAAAATAATGATTTGCAGTGAATACTATAGAAAAATTACTGCATTCAGCTGATCTTCAGGAATAAATTGTTCTCATGAGAAAATGGGAGGAAAAATGAGTAAGAAACTTCAAATATAGAACTTTTACAGGCTGTGAAACTTGGTCTCTTGCAATCATGTTATTGCTCAATTAGAGACAATCTTATTCATGTCTATTGGAGCAGCATGGTGGCACACAGCAGGCATTGGTGATGTTGAGAACAGCAGCAAAACCCAACACATGGATGCTCATGAAGAACCAGCTTGTGAGATGGACACCTTTCAGAGAAGGTTATACTTGAAAGACTCTAGACTTCAGGATAATAAAGCTCTGAATTTATACTCTTTAAGTGTATGTCCTATCTTGGCTATTATGATTTAAGTAAAATAACAGAAGAATAAAAAAAAACAGAAAAGATGACAATATCATAAAAATGTAGCTGTTTATTTTGGCAGCTATATTGCAGAATTTCTTGACTATCTTTTAAATCAGCTGGGAAAAAAGTCATTAACTGTATCCAAATGAATATATTGTCCACATCAAAATACAAAAGTACTATCAATAATCACCTCTGACTTTCAGATTTAAATTCAGTGCAATTGACAATGCATCTCTAAAAGAAAATGCAGCTTAAAAATACTCAAAACATTTGTGTCTATTCCTGGGAGCACATTTAAAAATTAATGCACAGATTTTTTATTTTTATTTATTTTTTTAAACAATGAGAAGTCAAACACAGATGTGGACTTCTAGCAATAAATGCAGTATACCAAGTGCCAGCATATTAGGTTTCCTACATAAGTCACAGAGGAGTTAAGTTCTAAATATCTAACGTGATCCAAAACCCTAAAAACAACTGGCACAAAACCATCGTGAATGACTGCCTCTCTGGATGTAAATTTTTAAAAAACATTACAGTATCATAGTATAGTGAAATTAAGTGTACGTATTCTTTTCACCAATAGAAAATGCTACCCTACCTTAGTAAACTAAGACTTGCTTCAATCAATGCTATTTTGTAAAAATAACAAAACAACAGATGCTGAAAATAAAAATTGCATTAATTGGGTTAAATCAATTTCTAGTTCAACTTAGAACATAGGTTAAACTTTTAATAGTAAAGCCCTCAAAATAATTAGTAACAGAAGTAGTGTTATAAATTTTCTAAGCTTGATTATAGGCAATTCCTTAATTAAAAAATTTTAAGATAAAAATTTGACAACTACTTTCTTTAAAATTGATAGTCCTGGATTCTTATGCAGATCATGACAAACCCTATTAAATCACACACATAGGCATGGCTCATGCTAACATTTATCTATTACTTTACTTTTAGCTGCATGAGCATAAGAGGAATTTTGATTTGATACCTATATTTTTTAAGAAAATACTTGATATAAACAGAGTGAGGGACAGGATATAGTAGTGATTTCTGGGAAAAATAGTAGTGTAAATCTATCTATCTATCTATCTATCTATCTATCTATCTATCTATCTATCTATCTATCTATCTATCTATCTATCTATCTATCTATCTATCTATCTATCTGACTATCTATCTATCTATGTAGTCACAAGTACCACAAATGCAGAGTCAAAGCAGCAGTGAGGTTAGTGCAATCACTTTTTTTTCTTTTTAAAATTCTGAATCACTGCTATTTAAAAACACCTTGAAGCAAGTCTTTTGTCTTAAAGATTGTTTGTAAACTAAGGTAGCAAATATTTTGCCATGTAATGGCAGTTGTTATATGCCATTATCTTGTTTTGTATAAAAGAATATAACATGAGAGATTTTTAATACTGAAGTTTGGTTACATTACATATTTAAGCTTCTATACAGAATGATGGACACTTGGAGAAGCTATTCCTCATCCAGAAACATTTTAATCTCTTAAAAATCAAAGCAAAACAATTTTTTTAAAAAGCCCCAAACTACTTTGCTCCTTTTTGCAATAGTGCACATTTTATCCATAATTTACTTATGGTTAAAAAGCATCAGAAGATTTTTTTATCTTCAATATCGTACTTAAAGAAAAACAAAACATTTGTGCCCTTCTAGTATTTAATTGGCAGAAATATGTCCCCCAAAATAACCTATTGTATTTAAGCCACATCACTAAAATAAAATATAGTGAGACAGAGAGAGAAATAGAGACAGAGAGACACAGAGAGAAATAGAAATAGAAACAGAAGCAGAGCATCCTTCTTTACGGATGTTTCTTGTAGGTTGACATGACCAAAGTCCTATGCTTTCTTTTAACTTCCAATGCCCCTTTCCACAATATGCACCAATTGAATATATTCTCTGGGAGCCAAAAATGTACCAAAAATCTACCTCTTCTAAAGAATGCTTTAAAGTATTTTTAAGAAAATTTTTATTGTTTAAAAGGTGAAAAAAATATAAACAAGAAACTGATTCACTCCCTTACTTCATGCATCCACAATCAAACAAAAATCAAAATTTAAAAGCAAGAACAAACTACTGCTGCGAGTTTTGTTATGTCCATTTTCTCTGTACATACCATCTGCTCACTACTGAAGGGAAAAAAGAATAGAATCAGTGGTGTCTGCTGATTGATTCAAAGGGGAGAAACAAGGCTGTCATTAGTAAACAAACTCTGGTACATATATGGTCTGCTTTTATAGCGTATATTTATTTCTCTCTTCTGTTTTTCATATCCCAAACTACTAAATGCTATTTTAGTGGCACAGCAGATTAGATTCCAGCACTTGGTGAACAGAATTCACAAGCTGTGACAAAACTCTGTCATCTTCAGGGTGCAATTTTGTATATATACATTGCATGGATATACTTCTCTTAGATTTGGCTATAGTGGACTGGCCATGGTTCAGGTGGGACTGTAGCAGTACATGGGTCAAGGACAGTCATTTTGGATATGTACACATTCATAGTCGGCCCATGGCTTCCAACTAGTAGCGCTATTTCTGGGTCTAATACACAAACTGAACCATCTGATGCACTGGCTCAAAATTTGTCTCCTGCTGCGTTCCAGCAAACTTCAAAAATTCCACCTGTTTGACTCATACATATACTAGCTATTGCAATGCTTGGTAAGAAATGTATGCATTATCCTGCCCATATAATTGTAACCCCTCTGTACAGTATGTTCACAAATAAAATAAAATTAAATTAAAAAAAGAAAGTTATAATAAAAGAGCAAATATAAAAAAAAATTCCACCTGTTCCCCCATAGCTGTGAACTAGAGCAACTGCTTGTGTTTCAATTGTGCACACATTTGTCAAAAGAACCACTTGCCAGATACTTGCCATCAGGACTGAAAGCAACACTGTACACAGGTTCTTGGTGTTTTGTCAAAGTATGGATGCGAATCCCTCGGTCTACATCCCATAACGTAACAGTAGAATCAAAGAACACACTTGCTAACATAAGGTTGTCATTGGATTATTTGTCCCTGGTCCTGTTGGACTTCATTTGATAGTATAAATTTCTTTATTATGTGCTTGCAAATCATGTACACAATTATCTTATTTCATGCTCCATATCTTCAAAGTTATGTCATCAGAACAGGAGGCCAGAAGATTGCCAATGGGGTCCCACTTGATAGCATTTACTTCATTTTTATGTCCCTGGAATGTTTTAATAGATCTGTGTTGTCCTAATTTGCAGACATGAATGCACAAATCTGTACTACATGAAGCAAAGGTGTTGTTGCTCTGCCAGTCAACATCCAATGCTGGTGCCGAATGAAAAGGAAACTTCTGCTTGGCTTCACAATTATTTGTGTTTTCAATTCTATTCCATTGGTCCTGAGGTCTGTTCTTGTGTCAGTACCAAGCTGCTTTGATTGCAATGGATTAAATAGTAGAGTTTGAAATTTGATATTGATATTCCTCCAGCACTGCTCTTTCTGTTGAGGATCGTTTTTGCTATTTGGGGTCTTTTAGTATTCCATATGAATTTTTGGATTGCAACTTCTATTTCCTAGAGGAATTATGTTGGAATATTGATAGGTATCACATTGAATTTGTAAATAGCCTTGGGAAGTATTGCCATTTTCACAATGTTGATCTTTCCAATCCAGGAGCATGGAAGTTTTTGCCAATTTCTAAGTTCTGTTTTGATTTCATTTTTCAAATTTTCAAAATTTTCATCACAGATGTCCTTCACTTCTTTGGTTAAATTAATTTCTTGGTATTTTAATTTTTGTGGAGCTATTACGAATGAAGTTGCTTTCCTAATTTTAGACATACTTTTCTGATTGTTGGCATACAGAAAAGCCATTGCTTTTTGAGGGTTAATTTTATACCCTGCTACTTTGCCAACGTTTTCAATCAGCTTGAGCTCCCCTATGATCCAGCAATCCCACTTTTGGGCATTTACCCAAATGATCACAAACAAGACCACACTAAAGCTACCAGCACGACTATGTTTATTGCAGCATTATTTACCATAGCTAAGATATGAATCCAACAGAGATGCCCTGCAGTAGATGAATGGATCAAGAAAATGTGGTATATATACACAATGGAATTCTATGCCTCCATCAGAAAGAATGACATTGGCCCATTTGTTAGGAAATGGAAAGACTTGAAAAAATTATATCAAGTTAAGTAAGCCAGGTCCAAAAAAACAAAGTTTCCATGGTTTCCCTTATTTTCAATAAGTAGTATATGTATGAGTCAAGCAGAAAAGGTCAGATAAGGTGATGTTCGGGAAATGAACCTAAGATATGTATTCAAATGTTTTTTTCTTTCATGCGATTGTTTCTAACACGTTTATAAGATTATTTCTTTGCAGCTTTGTATGTCCCTCCTCCACAGTATAACCCCTTCTTTCACTGTATTTGATGTCGGTATAATTTGTGGAGGGGAAGGGAAAAAATAAATCGCTTATATAGGGATACATTTGGACCCATTGCAACAATGAGATGTACAAGTCGTTATGTTGAAAACGAACTTTACAACTGTGGTGGGGGGGAGGAAGGGAGGAGAGTTGGGGGAGTAGGTGGTGGTAGGCTAGGAAGGGATGGGAAGAGAAAACAAAGGAGAAGGGTACAATGCTTGATAAGAAATGTACTCATTATCTTGCCCATGTAATTGTAACCCCTCTGTACAGTATTTTCACAATTAAAAAAACACATTAAGAAAAATAAATAAATAAAAATAAAATTGGATAAAAATCAGGCCAGTTTAGTGTCAGGCTCTCCCCCCCTCCCCCTGCATCCTTCCTCCAACAGAAAGGATTCAAGACCACTTGTTGAATTGCCTTGCTAAACAAGCAAACCCTGGGAAAATGAAGCTCTACAAAATTACTTCGTTTAAAAGAAATATTTTCTTAATTTTTTGTTTGAAAACTTTAGAAAATGTACGTACAACTGATTTTGATTTTGGGTTGCTTGAAGATTTGAGTGTGTTTTGTATGTGTTTGTGAACTTGTTCATGATAGAAATTGTTAGCATTTTGTAACAATTGTGTGAGTTTAATTTTAAAATTCAAAAACTTATGAGGTTTGACATTACCAAAACATTTTAAAGCATTTTCACATTGTTTAAAATAGGTTTTTGTAAGGATTCTTTAACTTGAAAATTAGAAAATCTGGTATTTTAGAATGCATAAAGCTGTTTTTTTTTAATTTAATTTAATTTTATTTGTGAACATACTGTACAGAGGAGTTACAATTACGTGGGCAGGATAATGCATACATTTCTTACCAAGCATTGCAGCCTCCTCCTTTGTTTACCCTTCACATCCCTTCCCAGCCTCCCCCCTACCCCCCAATCCCAATCCTTCTCCTTCCCTCCCCTCCCCCCCCACCGACGTTGTAAAGCTAGTTTTGGACATGACAACTTGTACTTCTCATTGTTGCAACAGGTCCACCTGTATCCTTAAACAACTGGTTTTTCCCCATCTCCTCCCTCCCCCACAGTATAAACCCTGCTTTCACTATATTTGATGTCAGCATAAAGCTGTTTATACTGTAATCAATATATCTGGCTTAACAAAAAGGAGAAACTTAGAAGCTAACAGAATACCTTTCTTTAGGAGTGAATGGTGAACATGCAGAAGTGCAGTTTAGCTGGTCATGCATGGTGGAACAGGCCATGGGAGGAGTCCACGCATGGTGAAAGAGGACAAGCTGGCACAAGCACAGTTCATCTAATGCTAAAGAGTCGGATTGGGTGCGTGGCCTTTCCACAGGAAGGGCTAAGTGGCCGATCTTTATTCTTTCACTTTTTCCTGCAGATAGACACTGGAGACGTGATGGTAAAAATGAGTAATGTGAAGATCCGATTAACATTGCTAAAACTGCCTCTTGGATGTGTTAAAATTAAAAGTAAGAAGGCTTTAAAAAGAGGGTTAAATAGTTTATTTGTGCAACGTGATTTGCCCTCAATGATATTCTGCCATTGGATATGTTTTTTTTTAAGGCATAAAGGTGTTAAGTCTAGATTCTTGGTAAAATGATGGTGATTGTAATTTTTGCATTAAGAAAATATGTTATTTGAGTTTAAACGATTTCATGTGTATCTGTTTTAAAACAAACAGCCAAGAGGAAATGAGTAACACACCTAGCCTTGAGAGTTCAAGGGATTTTTCAAAGTGCAGCTAAAAACTAAAGTATAGAATATTAAAGCAAATTAATAGGAGGCTCATAAATTAGGAATTGATTTCTGTATATAAAGTTTAAAAGTAAAATTGTTCTAAACATTTCCCTCAAAGTACAAAAAGGAAAAATTTGGATTACCAAAATAATTGCTTAATTACTATTTCAGTTTGCTCTCATAGTTATTTTTTTTAACAGTTCCCAGCAGGCTGACAAAAAGGAGTGAGGATTCTTGTAAGTTTGTCAGATGTAACTTTGGTTCTTAGTAAGTTTCAGGTAAGGATTCGCTTAAAAGCTACTTCTATGTTGATCACCTTCTTGCTTTTACTTGGAATAAAGTGGCATTTTTGCGACTCATTGATTTGCAACTGGTTCGAATCCAGCTCGGGCAGAAAAAGGTCAGTGAGAGACTGTCACCTCTACTCAGCCAGCAAAAGGCTGAAAGATTAAGCCGAGCTGCTTTCGGATTCAAAATGGCAGAACGTGAGCCTTGAACTGTAGAACTTAGGGACAGCACTCAGGCCCTAAGTTCAAGTCCAGCAACCAACTAAGGGAAATGCCAATGAGGCATTTTTCCCAGTGTGGAGAAGACACTCCTGGGACAAAAAGCAATGGAGGAGCATCCAGAGATTGTAAGCCACTGCTTGAATGGCAGAAATAATGTCAGATCCTAGAGTCATTTGTATATGGCCCTTCAAAAATTGGTCAGAGTCAGGAGGTCATGAGAAGATAGGTTGTAAGCATGCCTAAAGTCTATCACTTGTAAGGGACAGGAACTAGTCAGTCATCTATGATAATACTAAAAAGCTAAGGTTGTAAAATGTGGAGGATAGTTTAGATCCTAACCTCTGTATGTGCCCAAAGCTCTAATTGGCAGTAACTTTTGAGCTGACTCCAGCTACATGAAATTCATCTGCTCAGGAAAAATTTTGTAAACCTGAGAGTGTGTTTCTATTGATATCTGTCTGAAGGCCTGCATAGGTAACTCAGACATTCTTAGGTTACTAGAGATCACATTACTAAGCCATCCAGAAAGATCCTTTTGCAAACCAGAAGACTAAATAATCTACACTGCTGTAGTCAGAAAAAAGGTCTGTGAATTTGTCAAAAGTTAAAATGTTGTTCTTAATGACATCTAATCCTGGTAACCTCTTTGTAAAATAGGCTTAGGATATAAGTTCCTGGTTAGGTAGGATCAACACCCCTGAGTCAGCTTGAAGAAGTGACAGAAGATGAATCTTTGCTCACCATCTCCTTTTGAGAACAAGGGACCACAGTCACTTTTTTAAAAAAAATGTGGCAAAATAGACAGAAGGAAAAGACATGGGAAAGAATAGTACAAGACTGAGGCTTCTATATCTGCCTAGAAAATCCTAGCCTTATTAAAAGAACTATCTCGTTTAAAAAAATTGTTATCTTGGTTAATTGTCCTGGTCTACTGTCTAAATAGTCTTAAAAACTAGTGGGGTCATAGCCTGCCAAGCCTATGCAATGTATCCTTAACCGGTATGTGTGGGAATTTGCAGCCTAGCATGAGGTGTGACAGTCCCTTTGAGCCACTGAGAGACCCTGCTACTGCTGCTGCTGCTGCGCACCCTAATGAGTAAAGTTCAATGACAGCTTGACAGTCACCTGGAGGAAATCTATATCATCACCCAGACCACTCCCACACTGGTAAAAGTACACTCAACTCCTGCCTGATTCCATCACCTGAAAATGCTTCCTGGTTGAACGCTGCTAATACTAAGATCTTGTGGGACATTCTTTTGGTGATATCCAGTAACCTCTCTATTCCCACAGTGGATATTGTGGTCAAGTATATCACTGGCTTGCCTTACATACATCAGGGTCACAGCCTAGTTTGGCTCTGGTATGCTAATAACCTGCTTCCTCCTGGGTGTGTTTTAAAGATAAAGGAGAGTTTTTTTTTAAAAACAATGGAAGTAGAGGGAGGAATGAGAACCAGCCCTAATCTGAGCCTTAAAATCTAGAAAGCTTTTCATCCCACTGGTGCCTTGAGGCTTTCTGAGATAACTTGGTTCCACAAGTCGAAGGAAAAATGGGCAGTTTTAAATTCTAGCCACAAAGGAGCTCAAGGAATTGTAAAGAAGAGAAGTGTAGTAAAGAAAGACTTAAGAAAGGAATTTGGGAAAAATTGGAATCCTCTAGATAAGAAATGATTTAAAAAGTAAGGATTGTCTTAAAATGTTCGTAAAGAAGACAAACATCAGAAAGTTTATGTATGTAACATCAGAAAGTTTAAGTATGTAGCAAATGGTGTGAGTATGTCTTAAAATTGGAGCTTACAAGTACAGCTGGTATAAAGGTAAGTTAGGTGTGGTATACCGAGTCAGGATTGCTGGAAGAAAATGTAAGGGCCTTTGTTCCTGTTAATTTTGTTACTCACAAACGGACCTTGTAGACTGGTGTCCTTTGTAAAAAGAGAATCAGCACAGTCCATCTATTAGTTCTGAGATCCCAATACCAAACTGTAAATATAGAAGACTGTGCCAATTAGGAGACCATGATTGGTCCCCGATGTTCTAGAAGAGGAGAAAATGAAGAGCCAAAGTAACTCCAATTTGAGATTAACCACACCATATTGTGCTAAGCGGCCCTCAGAGTAACCCCAAGATAGATTAAAAAAAATACAGGATGCCACCAAACCTGTCCACCCTTAAGAAAGAATAACAGTTGCCCAAGTGTTCCAGGAACATTATAAACCAATAGTTCAGAAAAAGGGCAGAGCAGTTAGGGTGGACTCAAACCAATCATTTAACTGCTTGTGTGGAAATTCCCTAAACTTGTTTGTTCAGTACTATGAAAGCTGTGCTGATTTTGTGCTCTGGGACTCTTAACGTCACTGGTTACCTGATGTGCGGAGGACCAAGCTTCAGCTTGCAAATAAATGTCTCTTTTGCTGTTTGCATTGGTCGTGGTCTCTGGTGGTCTTTCGTGGGTCCCAAGTCCATACAACAGGGCTTGATACAAAATGTCTCTTCCCAGGGAATTAAATGATGGCATTTATAACTAAAAGTATTTAGGGTCATTATTAACATCTAACACCTGCTGAGATTTTTATTTATACTTCTCTTTCTTCCTTTCTTTCTTCCTCCCATACTTTCTTCTGCCCTTTCTTTCTTTTCTATTCTTTTTTCCTTTCTTTCTTTCTTTCTTTCTTCCTTCCTTCCTTTCTTTCTTCTTTTCCTTCCTTCCTTTCTTCCTTCCTTCCTTCCTTCCTTCTTTCTTTCCTTCCTTTCTTCCTTCCTTCCTTCTTTCCTTTCCTTCTCTCCTCCTCCTATTCTATTTTTCTTTCTTTCTCTTTCTTTTCTCTTTCTTTCTTTGCTTTTTTTTCTCTTTTAAGAAATGAGTATAAATTTAGATATTTCGTTGGCTGAACAAGTATTCTACCATTAGAACAATACTTTTTTCAATGTAGTTACTTTGCTCATAGATTATCAATTTTGCTGAGGGCTGAACAGAGGCTAAGTTCTTCACTTCTGTCTGCCAAGTAACTAGTATCACAAATGCATTCCAACGTCCCAGGCTTTAAGATGTTATGAGAATCTTATTACTTTCCTTGCACACTGGTTCTGAACAGTGATCTTCTCAATTTCTACCCCTTTAGTTAGTGATGTGAGCTCCAATACCCTGCCCTCAGTACAGATTGTCTACATGAATGATTGAAAGCAATTTCACTTTAATCTCTTTTTTTACCAGTCCAGGGGCTGTTATAATTTTATTTCTAGACAATTTTTGTGTATATGTGCACATTAGCTTTAAAATGTTGCTTTTCACCCTTTTTTTCCTTTTTTATATTTTTTGGTCATGGGGCTTGAATTCCGGGCCTGGACAATCTCCCTAAGATTTTTAGATAAATGCTCGCACTTTACCACTTGAACCACAGTGCCACTTCCGGTTTTCTGGTGATTAATTGAAGGTAAGAGTGTCACGGATTTCCTGCCAGGGCTAGCTTTGAACTACCACCTTCAGATCTCAGTTCCTGAATTGCTAGGATTACAGGCATAAGCCCCTGGCTCTCAGGTAAAATGTTACTTATTTTAAATTCTCTGATTTAGTTGAGGGACTAACATGAGTGTGTACAAAGGTAACTTTCAAGTCATCTCTCTAAATAATTTCAGAGATTTATTTTCATAATATTTATTCCAGTGATTAATAACAGAAGCTCCCACAGTAACAGAATGAGCCTTCATTTTCTCCTTCCCATAGGTATTATTGGAAGAAAATGAGAGATCTAAGTCGAAGTCAATATGTACTTGAAATTATGAAAGTTGATTTTGAAGACACATAAAGAGCCAGATTACACGATGTGCTTTTCATTTTCTAAAGAAAGGAATATCATACAAGTATATTTATTGACAGGCTTTTTCATCTGAAAAAAATAAAAAACCAATATTATGAAAAAGCTGAAGGGGATCAGCAGACATTTAAGTGTGATATAGAATTGGAGACTATAAGACATGAATTTATTCAGGTAAAATAATTTTTTTTTGGTTGGTCATGGGGCTTGAACTCTGGGCCTGGGTGCTGTCCCTCAGCTCTTCAGCTCAAGGCGAGCGCTCTACCACTTGAGCTACAGTGCCACTTCCGGTTTTCTAGTGGTTTATTGGAGATAGGAGTCTCACGGTCTTTCCTGCCCGGGCTGGCTTTGAACCGCGATTCTCAGATCTCAGCCTCTTGAGTAGCTAGGATTACAGGCGTGAGCCACCAACGCCCGGCCTCAGGTAAAATAATTTTTTGGGAAAGGTTATCTGTTCACTAAATTTATTCATTGTAAATTTTTTATTTTTATTTATGTGCCACTTAATATATAAATACATACATATGTGTATATATATGTGTGTGTGTGTGTGTGTATATATATATATATATATATATATATAAAACAGCAGTATCTGTCCAGTGAACTGTATGGTTAGGTAATTTCATCATGTCAAGTTCATCAAAAGGATGGATTTAACAACCCTGCAACACCACTTCACATGCAAACTTAAGTGTTCCCATTGTAAGCCAGACCTGTGTTTTATCAAAGCTTTGTATATACTGTGTTATATTTTCATTTAGGCTTGACACAAAATGTGTTTGCCCCTAGAAATAAATGATGGCATTATAACTACAATAATTTAGTGTAAATCTTTACATTGAAAACATGCTCAGTATGATTTACTTTTAAAAGTTATTGGTTTCCATAGAGTTAAACTGTTTTTGGTTTTAGTGTGAGAAAGTACTAAATTTATTCTTTTTTCAAAATATTGGCAAATTTATTGTGAAAATATTGTCTAGTTGGATAACATTCAAGTTGATGACGCTCTGATAAAAAAGGAGTAATTGTTTCGAATTAGATGCCAAATAGTATTGATTCTAAAAAAAATTACTACATAAAATAAAGAATAATATTTACTGTAAAAATAGAGTGCAATTATATTTTATGCAGCTTATTTTAAAATTTAATTTTATTATCAAATTGCTGTACAATGGGGTTACAGTAATTGTAAGGTAATGAATACATACCTTTTCAAACTTGTTAGCCCCTCCTTCATTTTTCTCACAGTTTTCCTTCACCTCAGTACCCCTCAGAGTTGTAATGTATATTTCCAACATAATGTCATGTGAGTATTGCTATTGCATTGGTTTTCCTTGTCTCACCATTTTGTTGTTGAACTTCCCTTCCCTAATTAAGGTAAATGTATACACAATACACAGGGCACCAAAATCAAATAGAGCAGGGAACAACCATAAGGGAAAAAACCCAAAGAAAAAAGAAATCACATAATACGTTACAAACAACAACTACAAACAAAATCTCTGTTCCCTATCTTGAAGTTCATTTTGCTCAGCATCAGCTTATATGGTCATATGTACACATAAACCCACTGGAAAATAATAGTTGTGTGGACAGTATATCATGAAAACAGCATGTTAACTGTTTTTGATGGTAAAGGTTGAATTAGGATTAGTGAATATGTGATTCTGATAAAGGAATTTCAAAAGAGTTTGAAAATTATGACAGGTATATTTTGATTGTTCAAACTTTTTAATAATTTAGCTTATTAAGAAAATTGCCTGGGAAAATAGGCTTTCATGCAAAGAAATCTATGGAGACTTAGTTAAGAGAGAGCAATGTGGGTGACGATAGCTCATTTTCACACTAAACAAACATTAGAAATCTTACTGTAAATCCTGTAGGTTCCTTTGAGAATTGTCCTTAACCAGGAAATATACTCTCACTGTGTGAAATTCAAAGTTCTTAAAAAACTAAGATATCTAAATTTGTGAATTTAGATATCTTTAACTACCAAAATAATTCTTTGAAAAAGATAATTTTGGTCAAAATATTTAGGGCGAAAGTGCCCTCCAATATGAAACAAGGTATTGGGTTCACACTTTTCTGTTTGTAACACTTTCTAAAATGTCTTTGAACGTGAAGCACTGAAACACAGAAGAAAATCTGATTGGATACTCCAATGATTACACATTTCTAAGTAGCTCACAAAAAATAATATCCTTATTAACATGAGATAGTAAAGACTTCTCTTATTACATAAGCCAAAAATGTTAGGATCAGAAAAGAATTGAGCAAATTGAAAGGGTAAGAAAACAGTGTTCTTAGAAGACCTAGTTAAGCATATTGGCTTCAGAAGTGGAGGGAGGCCTAACCTTTATATATATATTGTCTTAATATTTTTGCTACCTAAAGTGATTTTATAGAGCCTATTTGGCTGACTACAATGCAGAACAGATTGAATGAAGACATGAAAATAAATTCTGCGTCCAAATGAGGCAACTTAAAAGAGTTTTAAAAGAGAAAATATGAAGATATAGTGGGGCGGGGTGGGGTTGGGGGACCTTATAGTCCTTCAGCTTCACTGGACTCGAAGCCAAGAATCAGGGATTAATTGGAAATCAACCAAGAGCTAAGAGGAGGACATAGAATTAGCCATAGAAGCATTGTCCTTTGTAACAGACACTGTCATCCAAGGAATGGATGATTTAACTCTTCTTTCCCATACATCTTGCTGAACAAATGCAAGACCAAGAGAAGAATAATCTATTGAAATAATTTTTCAAAGAATAACTTCACTGAAACTGATATGGTATCTAAGGAGAGTCTTAAGAGAGAAGATAAAAGTGGAGTATTCTTTGATTTCCTCTAAGCATCTTGTTATCAAAATATATCTTTGAGGTTAGAAGTGATTGAACTAAAAAGTGGTGGAGTACTTATTTTTGTGTGCACTTTAGACACAAGAAGACTTTCAAGGTAAAAAAAAAATTATAGCCAAATATTTGTGATCACAGCATCTGGGAACAATTTTTTGGAGAGAAAGTTTTACATTAGAGTTTGTCCTCATTAACATAGATGTGGGGTTGTCGTGGCAACCAAATGCAAGGGTGAAGTTTAATGGACTCTTGGACAAGTAAACAGCATGATAGAATAAAAAGGCAAATAATATTTAGTGAACTACTTTGACCAATTACCTTGCCAGAACAAAGAAAGAAAAATATAATTCAAAATCAGTTCACTTAAAAGTATGAAAAAAGAGTAGTGAAGAGAGATGAGAGAAAACATAGAGGATTGTTTTCTCTCCAGTGGACAGCACCTATTAGGTTCTTGATCTTGTTTCTTCCATTCTATCTTCAGAAGCTATCAAGTGTGGGTCAGGACTGCAGTACCCATTTCAGACAAAGAGAACTCACAGAAGAAAGATAATATTTGCAGCAGATGTAGGTGATTTATAACCTTAGACAATCTATTTAAATCTATTCAAAATTCTCCCCTACCCCGAACTGCCCTCTTTGAAAAGCATTGTTTGCTTTTCCCAAGACTGCCCTTCATTAACTCCTTAAAATTTTGAGAGGTCATATTCATACTCTCTAGGGATTGCTCTTTGGTTGTGAGTTTTATGTGTTTTTGTTTTTTGTTGTGTTTTTTAACTGAAGTTCAAAAGGTCGTGCAATTGTTTTTCAATTAAATATGTTCATCTAATTGTCCAATGCTCCTGGATCAGAGTTACTTTTTCTATCATTCTCAACCAACCCCCTTTTCAAGATTTATTTCAGATTTACCACTTCCTTTATCACATGTGTACATTGAGTATTCTAAATATACTTTCCACTTGTTCCATTTTTCATTCATTCTACGTCTTTACTATTATTCTTCTCTGGTTTCAATTTCTTGGTAGTCATTCTGGTAAACTGTTAATACTTTGAAAGTTTTATATACATTACATGGAGTTTCAAACCTGCATATATTTAAACTGATGTCAGCTTATATTTCCATAATTCATTCATCTGCAATAATAATTTGTAAGACTGTAGATGTGAAGGACCTAGACATGCTTTTATTCTCATCCATTTGGAAGATTAATCTTTAGTCAAAAAGAAAGTTTTAAAATAGCTTAGAATGTATTCCTAATTACCAATTTTTATAAATGTCTTTGTACAATGGTTTGTGATTATTTTGTTTGAAATGGGATAATATCTACTACATATAAGTTTTGGAAAATGGAGAAAACTAAGATTTACTACTATCGAGGAATATGATACAAATAGAAGACAGATTTTATGTTTGTCACATCTCTGATGAATACTCATATTCAAGACTTAAAGTCATATTTCTTACTATGTTAGACAGATGGGGAAAACATAAAACAACATATGATGAGGCAACTATTTGTGACTTTTTCAAATGTACCTTCTTTAAGTGATGAAATTTAATTTATTAGTTAACATTTGGGTTTGAAATATAGGAGGCTGATCTATTTAACACATTTCTAAAAGGCATCTACTAACACACAAATGGTGGGCGGAACTATTTCTATACTTTAATGAATAGTTGAGCCTGTTTGGCATTGGTGCTGGGTAAATAAATCAACTCTATTGTAACTTGCTCCCTACACTTGAAAAACTTGTAATGCCACTAAACATAATCTATTTGTCAAATGTTATTTAGGTGAATGTGATGTTTAAAAGTGTATTTGAAAAAGAATATAATTTCAGGAGATTAAATGTAGGTTATCATTGTTTTGAGAATGACGACATTTTTATACTACGGAACCAAGTTTTACTGAAGTACTAGTGTTTTGAAGTACTAAGGATCTTCTCAATTAATGTTTTTCTGAATTATATTTGACCTCTAAGTCAAGTTTTCCTGGTCTTGGTAGACCAATTATGGCTCTATCCTTCCAGGATCTACTTTTTTGGCCTATATACGCTGGACTGAAATCTTTCATTAATCATTAGGAGAGTGGTATAAAAATAATCTTGTGATATTTTTGATCACATTCACTCATGTGGACTGGTCATCTGTAAATTGAAAGTTTGAATTACAGTACATTCTCTCAGATTTTGTGATATCATCTTTTATTTTAAGTTGCATTGCATTTCACAATTGCTTACTGAAAATTCCTTTTTTCTCAAAGAATTCGGGCCCTGAAAAATTATAGGAAATGAGAAATTGAGATGGGTCTTCAATTACTTTCTGTTGGCATGCTGCATGGGCCTAGGTGAGAAGTCTTGCTTCTGTTATTTGATGATGCAGGTAACTTGGACCTGGGATACTAGGAACTGTGGGTCCTGCAGAAAAAAATATCTTGTAGATACCATATCAGCAAAATTTGGGTATAATCAGTAGGAATACTTCAGAAATATGGAGAAAAACTGTTTAGGACCAGCGAGTTAAAATAATGAATAGAGCAGCAGAGTAAAATACTTTATAGATTATAGGAAAACAACATTTTTTTTACCATGTGAATTCAGAAGACCAAGAGCACTTTGAAGATATCACAAGTTTGTACGAAATACATTGCATTGATACTTTTCATATTCTAATATATATTCTAAACCTAATTGTTTATATTCCAATCTATTTATTGGAATAAAGAAATATAATTTTTTGTCAAATTATCAATTATTTCTAGTAAGATTCACTGTGTGAAATATAAAATCAGCACATATAAATACAAAATATAACTATATATAATATAATAAAATGGACACATGTTTTGCATTGTTCTGTTGTGGTTAGGGTATCAAAGGCAACTCTGTTTTAAAGTATTATTCCATTATCTCTACCTCAGTGTTTGGAGAGTTAGAAATAAAGCATTACCATTTGCAGATTTACAACCTGGACACACGAGGAAACACTCTGATTAAAACATTACCAATTTAAGGCCTAATAATGAGGAGAAACATATGGACTTCTCCTGGAGCTTTGGGAATATTTGGTGATAGAAAGGCAGTAGTGTAAGTTCCTGCCTGGTTGGATGGTTGACAGGCCAGAACATTAGGTAATCATGCATATGAACAATTTTTTCACCTTCTTGGCTTTAGCTGCTTTTGAAATGGTAGGTATATTAAATAATTGTATTTTGATAAAATACCTTCTATTCTGAACAGTTCTGTCTGAATTGTTCATCTCTCTATGATCCCTTGTATCTAATAATAGTTTAGTTTCAGTAAGACAATCTATGCTCTCAGGGTAAGATATTCTGGTTGATCTGTTGCTACATGGAAGAAGAGTAAATGGTCAGGTAGACATTTGATCCAGTAAGACCTCATTT